CTGGCCGGCCAGACCCCACCCAGACTCTCCAGGTCACGCCCCCGTACCCAGACCCCGCCCCCTGGCAGCCCCTCTCCGCCCCAGGGCAGCCTTGCTTTGACTTACGGAGCCGGCTCCCTTGCCCGCTCCCAGCCAGCTCTGGCCCCGCCCACCCCAAGCGTCCAGCCTCCGCTGATCTCTGACGCCCGCCACTCTCTTCCTCAAATGGCTCTCGCGATCCCGCCTCGCCCACCTGGCCGTCGACCCTTCCTGGCCCCTCCACGCCTGAGCCCACCTTCTCCAAGCCCTACCCCTAAGGCCCTCCCAGAAACCTCCTTGGGCAGTTTGGCGTCTCCGAACCCCTCCCATCGCCCCTTCCGGGTCGTCCCCCCACCGCCGCCGCCCTCCCACCGCCCCCGCCCCGCGAGAGACTGACTATGTCACCCGCCCTCCTCATTGCCACCCTCCTTCTCTCCTCAGTCAAGTTGTCAAGACCTGTTTCCGCTGGGAACTTTCTCCGCAGAACCCAGAAAGAGGTCACCCCTCCCCGGAAAGAGGTCTCATTGGGGGAGGACTGCAAAGCCCTTGCCGCCCCCACTGACTCCTCCTGACAGTGCAGGGTGTTAAGAAAGCTGTGAGCCTGTTTCCTCAGCTGTAAAATGAAGGTCTCCCTCTGAGTGTTAAAGATGTATGAGGGGGTCGAGGGGTGGGGAGGTATGAGGTCAGCGGGCATGTGATCCTGGTGAAGGCCAAGGTCCAGTGGGCATCCATCCCAGTGCTGGCCTCTGCTGATGGCGAAAGACCTATCAGCTGGAGACATTCCCCAGACCTCACCCCTGGTGGCCCCTTCCTAAGGGTGGAAGAGATGGACATAGAGAGAGAGTGCTGGGGATTCCCAGCTGCTTCCATCTCCGATGATGTCCCCTGCACTCACACTGGCCTCCGGTCCACAGACCCATCAAGGATGGTCCTGCCTCCAGGCCCCACCCCCCTTCCCTTCTCCCCAATCCTTGTAAGACTTACTTCCTCATTTTCTTTGGATCCCAGTGTCACCTCAGAGAGCCTTCCCTGACCACCTTACCTAAAACACCACCTTTCCTCCCCCTCTGACCCCTTCCCCTGCTTTGTTTTTCTGCACAGCACTTACCTCCTTTGACATCACTTAATACCTAGGTGTTCTGATTGTTGTCTGTCTTCTCCACTGAGGAAGGGGTCTGTCTTTTGTACAACTATTTTCAGTGCCAGGAAGGATGCCCAGTATAAAGTAGATGCTCTGTAAATAAATGTGGGCTGCATGCCTGAAGAATGAGAGGCCTGGTAGGGAAGCAGGGAAGC